CTGTGTGTGTTGTCAAGATACCAAAATTTCATTAGTCTAAAACAACACCAGTAAAATTTCACTGTTCTCGGTACCAATTTCAGCATCCAAAAACTAATGGAACTACTTCACTTTTTTTCTATAACTAATTGAAAATAAAATTAGTTAATTATTAATGATAATAATAAATAAACAAAAACATTAGTATTTAGTCTTCAAATAATTTTCAATTAAGTAAACATTTCTTTAAAAAGGTCAAGTGAAAAGTCTGTTTCACAACAAAGAAACACATTACAGAACAAGTGGCTATCAGTTTGCATTTGCACTCCAAGACAATGCAAAGATCTACTCAAAGATCTCTGTTCTATCGGTACTGCAGAAAGGCAGGTATAATTTTTTTTTTTACATTTCAATACTGACTTACTAGTACCAAAAGTAGCAAAGTACAGGTACTTTAGTACTGCCAGATTCAAGCATCTCTAAAACAAAAGCTAGGAATATTACGACAGCACGGTAGGAAACAAGTCTGAATTGGGAATCACATTCTACATGTTAAGACCTGTATGGACAGGTGAGAGCAGGCTGGTCACCTGCTCTCCGGGTTTCCATGGCAACAAAGACAGGTCACATGCCTGTTTGTTAAGCCCTCACCTCAGGCTATCCCAGGTGCTTCGCTACCAAACCACACTCAGTCCCCCGAGACTGACGGAGGCACAAGATATGATGCTGTTTCAATGAGCTTCTAGAGTGTGTTTGAACAAGAATAAGTGGGCTTTAATGAGCGGAGGACACATTTATGCTTTAACAAACCTTGTGCAGATTTACAAATGACATATTGTCAAAACAAGAGTGTTGCTCTCTTTGCGAGTTTGCTTTGTGCTTTTTCTCTGTTGAAGGAGATTATTCAGGCAGTGATCTTTGATCTGAGACTCAAACAACTGTAAATGAATAGCAGAGAAAGCAAGTTAGGCAGATAATACAGTGCATTAGTGCCCGCCCACTTTTTCAGCAGCATTGGTTCTGGAAATATTTTTTCCCTTCATTTTTCCCACAGGGAAGTCTTTGTTAAAGCAGTGAACAAGCCAGCCATCTATGAGGAGAATCACAACTAGTATTTGGAGAGCATAGGGAGATCGACTTGATTACATTTGCGGTGTTTCATGGGAATGGGCAGATCTCGTTTGGCATGCTATGCTCGCTGGGACTCTCTGATTGGTGGAATTTTCTTTACAGCATCATGGGTAATGTAGTTTTCACCACAAATTCCACTATTAAACGATTCTTTTAAAAATAAGTTGAATTAATGCAAACAGATGGGTTCAACGAAAGCATGTACAACCTAATAACAACCTCGGAGCTCACAACACGTACATCTTGAAAGGTTTATCAGTTATTGTTAAAAATCAATTTCCCTATGAAGAAAATGAATGAATGATTGAATGAATGAGTTTTTACTTCGAAAATCTGACAGCTGCTCTTGAGTGCACTGTGACATGGACATGCAAAGTACCAGCGCAAAAAAAGAAAAACACTGAAGTCTTTACTGGGCTGTAAAAGCCACAACTCTGTTAGTTCCTGTGCACCACTCATTCATGCTGTAGATATAGGCCTACTACTCCCTTATACTACAGTTGAGGACAGTGTGAGTTTATTTATAATCACTTATTGCACTCCAGCATGATTTACTCAATCAGCACTCAATTCTTTCACACGCTGGCCTTCTCTTGCCAAAACCCCTCTTAATCCCTTGAAATTCTTCATAGAGACTAACGCTAAATGGGTGCACTCTGACAGCATGACGAATCTATCTCTGAGCTGTAAGCAATGCTGTATTTCACTGTGCTTCTATCTATGTGCTGGACATCTCAAACAGCAAATCGAACTAAGCTGGCACAACCCATTATTTTGTTTTCATGCTACAGTACACATTTTAAAAAATGGAGATGAATCAAAGACCTGGTTTTGTTTGGTCTGAGGAACATACATCATGTTTAACAAGTTAAACAGGTCATATCATGCATTTTTCTGATATCATATTTGTTTGCACCCTCTCTCACATGGTCCATTTTGTGTTGCTGCAGCTTTAAGAAACCCCCCTTTGCATGCATGAAATGAGCATCAGTGCTGAGTGATGCTGTCACACCAGTTTGGTAGTTTGTGACAGATTCATCAAACATGCTGCATTAAAATGTGGTGATAAGATCAGAGCAAAATGATCAGACCTTGTTAAAAATAAACTTCAGTGCATAAACCTCGTCCATTAAGTCTTGTTGCATTACTCTGCATGCAATTGTGACGTCACAAATCTGCAAACATTATGCAGTAATTTTTGTAATTTTGTTTCAATAAATGTTCTGTTCATGACGTCAAGTTTTGGGAACTGAAACAAAGTGTTACAGTCATATATCAAGCTCTTGCAAAAAGATGAAAGAATATTTGATTCCTCATGATATTACCCCTTTAAAGTGTCATTCAAGAGTTAAATTTTATGGCTTAAATTAGGGATGTTCATTTTAACCGTTTAACCGGTTAACCGACCGTAAGAATTTTGACCGATTAATACAATCAGTTAAACTGTTTAAAAAGTCATTTAATTATTTATTTTTTCAGTAATTTATCAAAATATTTAAAAAGGTTTGCTGCATGGTTAAAATACGCAACGTGTATAAAAAAATATTTGTTTTTTAGGGGGGAAAATCAAGTCGCATTTTTTATTTCATTCAGAAATAGGCCTAATGCCGACGCGAAATGTTTACAAACATTATAATAAACACTGTAAACATAGCTAGGCTATTTTAGTTCCCCTCACTCCACAACAAATCCTTTCAATTAACAGTATTTAGAAAAGAACAAGAATTAAAAATATAAGAAGCTATAGCAATATAAACGACAAGCCAAAACGAATTCATTTAGGCTAAAACGAAACTGAAACCAACGTTGGGTCTCTCATTCCACACAAAATCAAATGTTTCCGTATTCGCGATGTATTTGAATGCCAAAATATTATTTATTATGTACTTCACTCGCGTTCCAATATCCACGTAAAACAAAATGTTTTGCATAACATCACGGCGGTACTGTGATAACACTTAACGGCACCGATTTTACTACAATTTTTTTTTTTTTTACTAAATAGTTTTTTTTCCATATGTTTGACTGACTGTTTTATTATGATAATGAACAGGCTTAATCTTGTCGGTTAACGGTTAACAATCGGTTAACGAACGTCGGTTGGGAAAAATAACCGAAATGAACATCCCTAGCTTAAATACCAGTCTGTTCCTCATACAAAGCTATCATATGAAAGACATGGAATGCAGTCTGTTTTTGATTATTTTATGGTGCTTTATGTCCTTTTTGGGGCCTGACAGCCCCTGGTCCCCTTCCACTTTCACTGTATAAACAAGAGCAGCTCATACATTCTGCTAAACATATCAAAATTCATACAGATTTAGAAAAACAAATGGGTGAGTAAATGATGACAGAAGTGACTTATCCATTTAAGGGCACTGCATTCAATTATAAAGCCTTATATTAGAGGCAAGGTTAGAGCAATGTGTGCATGTAGGCTACATGTCACCTATGAGGTCTAGTGTGCCTTTCGCCTCAAGCTGTGTTACATCAGCACATTGTTGCAGCACGTTTCTTTCTTACTTCCTTCTTCCTCTCATTCATTCATTCTGCAATGTCATTTCAACACCACAGGACCTGCAAAGCAAATCTCTCCCAATCAGTTTCAGCTACATTGTGGGTCACATACAGGCCCTCACTCATGCTTGAAACTCAGCTAATGTATAACAGGGGCTTTCAACTGGCTTGTGGACGTGGGAGGTGAAAAAAAGTGTGCAATTTCCAGAAAGTGCTACTGACTTCCTTGTGTGTGGGGCTGGTCAACAGAGAAGAGCTGTTATTACATCATGGAGCTGTGCTGAAGTGATCTGTGAACTGCCAAAGAAAGCTACATGAGACATTCTGCTCTCTACATTTGATTTTGTACCATACACACTCCATGGAAACTGCAAGACAAGTTTAAAGCTGACAAAGCACTGCCATCATTTCAAGGAGGGTGAATATCAGGTCACTGCTAAAAAATTTAAATCAACCCAGGTTTCTTCCTCACACCCTGTAATCCTTTATCATAGATTAATGGATAATAGCTTCACATTAGGACTGTCTGCAATGACAGGAGCAGGGAAAAACGATCTAAAACAAGCAGTGTGTATAGAAACAGGTTGATCAAGCTTTAAAGCCAACACCACATCGCTAGAAACACAGCAGAAAACAGAGCCCACCTTTACAAATGCACACAATATTAACAGAGTCTCACAAATAACTCCACGCCTTTGCGTAAAAATACTAGGATTCCAAAAAATATATATACTTTTTTTTTTTTTTTTTTAAGGATGTATAAGTCCATGCTATAAAACAGGTAGTTATATACACTGTCAGACAAAATTTTCAGTAATTACACCTTTAGGGGTACAACAGCTTGTCACTGGGGCAGTACTATGAAAGGGATGACTTTGTACCTCTATATGTCCCTAAAAGGTTATTTATATGTTAATCACTGAGCATAACATACTACATACATAAAATGCATATAAATATAAGTTGATAAACCTGCTCCACTCCAGCTATTGTATACAGTTATACATCATGACCTGAAAGGGAATGTGTATATACAAGACAAGCTGTTATACCCCTAAAGAGACCATTTTCTGAGCGTGTACATTGCATTTCTTTATTCACATCAAATATACGACATGTCCTTCTATCCACTAATTAAAGGTTCAGTCCCCTGACATTAGTGTCTTGATCAAGGACACAATGGGGGCACTAACGTTACATACATCAGCCAAACTGGGATTCGAGCCAAGCAGCAGACTTTTAACCATTAGGTCACACAGCTCCACTTTCTGCTTTGTAAGTGTATAGTTAGAGTCGCAGCTAGAGTCTAAACATTTGGTCTTGTCCCGCCACGGTGTCGTTAGATCCTTATTTAAAGGCTTTAATCAGCTTACCAGATTGAAGATCGTCTCCACAATGTCCCGGTTGGAGACTTCACCAGCCTCCAGGAGCCCCGCCAGCACGGCGAACTTCATGCGGATTCCTCGGATGGGAATCCCGACAGCGCTGTCACCTGCGCTCGCCATGACGGAGACAGGTGAGAGGGGAACAGGTGGGACACCTGTCTGACCCTACCGTCGAGTTAAACTATGGGGAAACGTACGGAAAATATTGCTCTCGTTAAGTTGACAGAGGTGAAGAACAGGTCCTGGTCTCCATTCACGGCCAGTTTATCCGTTAATTTCGGCGGGAAGCGTCGGTTGATGTCACTAACCTGACTGACAGGAATTATTCTACTGTGGAGAAGAAAAACAGCTATAAACTTGTCAAAAGGAGGACAAAACCGCACTGTGGTGAGCCTAGATACGAAACACAATGCTTGTCGATCTCCACCGGATTAGTAAAGGAAAGACATTTAAACAAAAATGTCATTGAGGTGTTTGCGCGTCAAACAGGAAACAGCGATGCTGAAGAGATTCCGCGCAGGTAACGTTAGTCGCACCGATAAGCCGCAAAAAACTACAAAATATAAGGCAAGAAACGTCCGACATTGGCTTTCAGGGATCCCTCCGAAGAGAAGACAATCCTCTCGTTCGCTGTGGGAACTGCTGGAGTGAAGTTTCAGCGGTAACCCACTTTACAGCGCCATCTCTTCCTGAATCAGCTCCTACTCCGCTCCGTCTCCGCCATGACAGTGGAGCTCAGGGTTGCCAGGTTTTCACAACAAAACCCGCCTAATTGCTACTCAAAACTAGCCCAATCGCGTTCCGGGAGGTAAAATACATGTAAAATACACTTTTTTCGGCAGGGTTCCCCTGTCTAAATTTGCACTCCGGTGGCTAAACATCACATAATTGGGGTCGCTTCAACCAGCGGACATGAAAAACAACTCGCGGCAACAGTGTTAAAGTAGCCCAGTTACGCGGGAAACCCGCGGACTTGGCAACCCTGACAGAGCTGCGCATGCGCAGTGCGCCGAGAGCGGCGAGAAGGGGGGATGGCTCAGGTGTGTCAGGTACAGAGACTACAGTGAGAACCTGTTAGGACAGAATGACACTTCATACTGAAGATCTTGTGTCAGGGACGCTCTTTTGTGGTGGTGGTGGTGGTGATTTACGATAATGCACTTGCTTTGAGAATGACATAGAGACATCGGGATGACAGAGTGATAAAAGGCATGCTTTCATCAGAAACGTGGTTTGCATCAAGATTTGACTTGGTAATATCAAAGAATGTGTTATTAATATTCATATTATTATTTGGAATGTGGATTGTGTATAATAATTAAACAACATGCATGCACAATATAATGTTTTCTGCAGTTCAGTGGTCCGTCAAACTATTTACAAATAAATTCAAAGATCTAACGTGTTGTTGAACTAAGCATGTAGAGGAAGAGCATGTCAGGAGTCAGAAAGACCTTTACAAGTATGTTTACACACACAAGGAATTTTCCAGTGCAGAAGAAAGTAGAGACATAAACATACATGCTAGTGCAGACATATGTAGGAATTACACAGTAGAGATGAAATTCAACACTAATATAAGAACTGAAAATTAAATAATGCACTATATGCAGAAGTAGAAATATGTACAGATATGTTATTTACAAGTGTACAGTTTATGTAGTTTACAAGAGTGAGATCATCTTTTTGGAATATGGAAAAGCTTACATTCAGCAGATAGAAATATTACATTATATTGATTTTGTCAGGAAAAAAGATGATCTGAACACTATTGTGTAAGTTGTGGCTTTACTTTACTCTGGCATTACATCCCACCCACATCCCTCTCTCGGATCAGCATGTGGTACATTATATTACTATAATTAAAAATATTTTTGGAAAATGAAACAGTTTCTTACAAACGTATGTGATTTGATAAAATACATACTGAAATATAATCGTATATGGGTAACGGAGAAATTACAATTAGCTTCAAGCTACACGTGACAATGAATGAGATTAATACAACACTTCTATGTCACTATCAGTCAATATTGAGTGTTTGTAATAACTTCTGACTGCGATCCAGTGTGGATTTTGGTCAAATGATGAGGCAGAAATATGTTGTTAGTAACATTCTAGAATAATTTTATGTGGAAGATACACAGTTACAGTACAACTTCTGTCGGGAGTGAAGAAAAAGTAATGTAGTAGTGTAACTAATTACTGTTGCCAGAAAGTAACAAGACTACTTTTGAAAGGAGTAACTAGTAATGAGAAATATATTACATTCTTTGAGTAACTAGCCCAACACTGTGCTGCCAAATGCATGAATGTAAAGTTATTATAGATGTAGATTGTCCTTTACAGTCTGAGACCACATGATTTCTTATACTTTCCCTTACACTTAAAAATTCTGTTACTCAACCTCATGTCATTCCAACCATGATTTGTTTTTCCATTTGGACCTCGGTGTTCTTCTTTTCGTTGTTTTTTTTGTGCTCCATTTAAATAAGAAATGCATTGAGTAAATAATGGCAGAATTGGGTGAACTATCCCTTAAAGTGTGCATGAAGTAAAAAATTCACTGTATATATTTTATAACGCATGTTATACTGTATTGTCATTTGTATGTATTATTAGCTGTAATATCATATGTCATTTTATTCGTTTTTTATTATGTCTATATAGGTTTTTTATTAAGTTTTAGTTTAATTTAATTTGAGTTATTTCAGTACTTCAACATACAAAATGGAAATGAAATAATATATATATATTGAATGTATTATTTATATATATAAGTACATGTATATGTATATGTGTGTGGCTGTACATACACGTATGTAGTTGTTTTTTGGTGTTTGGCTTAGTGTTATGTTAGAATCATTATTATACTCATACCTTTTGTTCTTTTAATATTTTGAATTGTTTTTAGCTTTATTTTTTTGTTTTCATTTAAATGTTTAGTTTTGAAATGTTGTATGCATTTGTCATTTTTATTTAATTTCTTTTATTTTCTTAAATGTGTGTATATAGTATTTATAGAGTTTTAGCTTTTAGTTTTAATTACTTTTTCTTATTTGTAAGTCGCTTTGGATAAAAGCATCTGCTAAATGACTAAAAGTAAAGTAAAGTATTATGAATGATTCATACATGTATGTTTAATTTATTTTTACTTGTAATTTTTAATCACGATGTCACAACTCCATCTTCTGATGAAAGCAAAAGACTTCTCTCTGGTGACGTAAATGCCTGAATTCTTTAATCATTTAGTCTGATTAAACCCCGTCCCTCCACAATCAGTGGCATTAAGTTGAGTGCAACAAACCAAGTCCCACCCTACATTTTTTTTCTCCTCCGATAATCCACTACATTTAGATGTGCATCACAAAATGGAAGAAAAGATCTGTCACAACTTCTGTTTCATCATGAGTCATTTGTTATTTTACCAATTGTATCTAAATCTAAGTTCAGATTTGTGATACTCATGATATTTTAGATTCAGTTAGGGTTAGGTTAGTGTAAATTATGTTTGTAAATTTTTCACATACAAAGAGTTATTAAAGCACATATTATTTTGTTGCATGTAAACTTTACTATTTAATATACACAGACAGACCATTATCCCACACAGAGGTCTTGAATATTAAAGAATCTTAACTAGCTTCAAGTATAAATGTGCTCACTGTCTCATTATATTCAAAGTGTGGTTTCATGGCCCCTTTGAGTCATTGCCAAGGAGTCAGCAGCACATTGACTTTGTTGACTCTATATACAGTCCCTCGGGGGCCGCAGAATTAAAGGTCTAGACTCTGTAGCAACAAAGAACAATTTGTCTCACAGGCACTGAACTTTATACTGACATCAGACCACACAGACGCATACATAAAGAATTCATTACAGAAATCAATTTATAGAAAATGCTTTTTTTTTCTCCTTCCAAATGCTTTCTTACCAAAGTAACAGGATGTGGCATCTATTTAAAGAAGCTTGTTATAGGGTAAATAAAAACCCTATGCTAATGCAAAATGTCAGTTTTAATTATGCAGCTATTGTGAGTGAGTGAAATGTGAGCTTTTGTTCTTGGGTTTCTAAAGAACAGTGTGAAAGATAATATGTTTAAATAATAACGGTGTTCATCTGTGCAATGTTGCCTTTGGAAACAATATGGAATGCAATATGATCATTTAAATAGCATAATAATAATAATAATAATAATAATAACAATCATTATTATTATTATTTAATGACAAGAGTAACAAGACATTAGATGATGGGACATTAGTAATTAATTTACTGAGACATTTATTTATTTAATTGAGATTTTGAATATTTTAGTCATTTCTGTGTTTGTTTCGGTTTATAATTGAGACAGAAACTTGATCGAACAGATTAAATGATCGAGTCCTCTAGACACTCTGCATGAATCTTCCATTAATCTATCAATACAATTTATAATAGGTTTGTCATTAGGGGTTTGATGTTTGAGGACTGTAATTAGACTTAAGTCAGGGAAACTATAATTGATATATATATATTAATATGGACACTTAAAGGGATAGTTCACCCTAAAATGACCATTTATTCACCCTCAACTGTTTGGTTACCCAAATTCTTCAAAATATCTCTTTATGTTTAACAGTAGAAAGAAACTCGTACAAGCGATTCTTAAATTTCTTTATAAATATATGTTTATTTTTTGCAGAAAATGAATCATTAAAAAGGAAAATGTACATTTAAAGTAGGCTGTTTTATGTGACTTCTCTGTCAAATAAGCATGGAAATATCGAACGTAGTGAAATAATGCATGTAAACACTAGATGGCGCCCTTGTGCGTTACAGTGAGGCCAGCGAAATCCCGCGAGATATTTCTATTCTCGCAGTCGCTTTAATTCTCGCGGTATTTCCTCATTTCCTCCTCTTTCACTCCCTGTGTTCAACATGGCAGTCGGCAAGAACAAGAGGCTGACCAAAGGTGGCAAAAAAGGTGCCAAAAAGAAGATGTAAGTGACAAATGAATCTCGACTGCGTCGTTACACTGTTATAAACTATTCTGGAGGATATTTGGGTTGTGTGGATGAAGGATGTGCTCGATATATAAGGGATTGTGTGTAGCGGTCCTGCTAGCCTGACTGGCTCATCGACGGTGTGCTGTGTGTTCTCTCATAACTTTAGCTCAGAGATGGTGAGGGCCTGGTACTGTTTTCTAATGCAATAGTCCTATAACTGTAATAAAGGATTCATTTTCAGTCAAAATAGCACGATAAATTGGTAACGCTAACGTGAAGGCTTCTCCGAGAGTGCTAGCGTTAGCTAGTTTTCCAGCATACTTGACTGACTTAAGATTTAACGTTACTGTGACACATGTATTGGATGCTCGAAGTTATTTTGGAGCTTTCTCATATTTTAGTTAACACGACCAGAGCAAATATAAGCCGTGTCAACATTTGAGCTATGAAAATGAGGCTCCATTACAACATTTGCTTGCAAACGTGCACCTGTCTCTGAAATGAGTTTTCTCTTGCAGTGTGGATCCATTCTCCAAGAAGGACTGGTATGATGTCAAGGCACCAGCCATGTTCAACATCCGCAACCTGGGCAAGACCTTGGTCACCAGGACTCAGGGAACCAGTAAGTGCTTTTAATGTCCACCCCTGTTTGTGTTTACACACAAATTTAGCGTGAACTGTTAAAGGATAAGTTCACTTACAGAATAAGAATGTCCTGGTAATGAACTCACCCCCATGTTATCCAAGATGTTCGTGTCCTTCTGTCTTCAGTCACAAAG